ACGTAAATTTTTTATTGTAAAATTTCTACCAACTTCTTTACAAGTTCGATTGTGCCCCCCCAACGTTGAAGTTCTGCGTCCGCCCCTGACCTCTAAGCTGGTATCAAGCCTGCTAATAATCATGAGCTCGATAAACTTGCAAAAACCAAATAGAACTACTGCAGTCTGGTGCTTGCTCAATGTATATTCCACACAGAAAAATATCAATGCATACAATAATAAGAATACAGAATCAAATGAATAATTTACTCGAATTTTTCAGTTTAAGCAGCTGCTATAGAAAGATTTTTCTTCTCTTCTAGCTTGCTTGCATGTACAGTAAGCAATTCATGCTGTACAACCTGTCACCAGAAGCACAAGTTTTGCATAAGCAAACGAATCAGGAGCAGTTAATAACGAAAAGTTTATGCTTCTGGAGGTGAAGCATCACGTCCCCCTCCCTACAGTACTCGTTCCACATAGCCACGAATGGTATTTTATATGAAAAAGAAACGTACCTCTAATAATTTGGGTTCACTCATGCAATTCAAATAACTTGAAGTTCTGGCTTTCTCCTGTTGTAAGCATTCCTCGACCTATATATTACAACAAGAAAGTACAATGAGCCTATATCCGGGGAGCCTTCCTCTTCTTTTCTTGGTTTATTTTGATGAATTGACATGTTGAAATTAAATTAACTCTGTTCTGCCAAGAAAAAGAAGCAAGAAATCATAATTCGGGACTGACCTTACGCATGTAATTCTCGTAGGTCTCATTTTCAATCCAGTTTGAGGTCTTCCGTGAATAGAACGTAGCCGTGGCTTTGATCATCGACTCTTTGAAATCTTCTTCATAGTATTTCGTTGAGTTCTTGCTAATCTCCATGTAAATATCCAGGACTGACTTCACCATGGCCTGATCAATCTGTTCTCCCTCACGTTCCGTATCAATCTAAGATGCTGCTTGCATGTTACTACATCTCGAAAAAGTGCTCATGGATTTTATAAAATAAAGAGTAGCGTTCTTCAATTTTCGTAGGGATTAGGATTAAAAATTATAGCGCGTATGAACCAGATCATCGTGACATGTATTTCTAAAGATAGATAGAGGCAGACTAATAGTAAACATAGTTGAATCAGAAATATTTGCACACAATATCGACGAGTTTAATGAAACAGGAGCTGAGGCCACTTGAAAATCTCAAACATACCAAGGATATTACAGCATCTCTAACTTGATTGTTGATTACGGTGTAAACCTACTTGTATAGAACACAAAATATCAGCTAAAAACGAAATAACTAATTTCTGGGGAAAACCCGAAATAGTAAAGAAGCATTTATCACCAACCAGATTGTAGAATGCCAAATGGCTTATTCTTTCAAGTGAAGGTAGCTTCTTCCGAGCAATGAAGTATCTTTCGAGGTAATTAAAGAACCTTGAAAGCCATCGGACCATAGTCTTGTGATTATTCCATCTTTTCAACAATTCTTGTAACAAAGACTCGTCTTTCTTTCCCCTTACAGATGGCAACACCTGGAAAAGATGATAATAGAGATACAACTAACACGTTCAATATATGATTGGTATGTTCTACTGGACTGAACAATACAATCAACAAGCTATTAATATTTTCTGAGCAACAAGCACAAAGAATTTATTAAAGTTTACTAACCTTGGAAGATATGTAGTCTTCAAAAGTCTTTTTATAATGATCATACATTTTCTGAGCTTCGGGACCTACCGGATCGGGGGCACATACATTGTACACTACTCTGGCAAATGGAGTTAGGATATGCAACGCGATAAACGAATTTCAACTACAAATGCTAAAACCAGTTAAGAGTTAAGACCATTACAATATGACAACAGGAACATGAGAGAGTAATTACTATCAGTGAAAACTGAACAAGAATGATCGAAAAATTAAGCCATGTTTGACTCCCATTTTCTAAAACTTTTTTTTTCCTCAAATCATTTTCACCCCAAAACCCACAACTTTTATTAACTTTTCATCCACACATTTCATCAACTTTTATCAAAATCTACCTAAAAAAAATTGATTTTTTTGCTAAACCAAACAGTGGCTAAATGACTTTTGATTTTATATTTTTCATAGGCAGAGGAATAGCACAAGTACTTGTTGAAGTAGCATCCACCATTCAAAATGCATCCTGCCACCAAGTAGCAGTTGCGGGTGTAAGTAATTTAAAAGTTAGTTTCCTAAAAGTATTTCACAAAAAAGTTACTTTAAAGTTTAAAGCAAAGCCAATTTGACATTTTCTAAGCCATCACAAGACAAAAGTAAAAGGACAGATTATACTTTGATACACAGCGACAGATTTAAGCCTGTTTGGTACAGTCCACTAGCTTTAAATTAATTAAGACCATATTTCATCTGCATTTTTTTTTCTCTTTTTAACCACAAATTCTTAAATAAAATAATGTTTCACGTAATCCAAAAATTTTTACTTCATTTTTAACCGCACATCAACTATCAATCTATTATTACAAAATATATTCTATCTACAAAATGGGGTCGAACAGGCCATAAAAATAAGTGAATTTAGCTCCAGGAGAACCACAAAAAATTATGGGGGTGGGTGGATTTTTGCTACAACCCAAAGAAAAATTAAAAAGATACGTGTAGAACCGCATATACTCTTCAGAACTGAACTCGTGTTTCTGAACTCCTTCCAGATTGTTGATTAGTTTGTTAATGGCTTCTTCCTGCAAAAGGGACCATGCTTCTTCAAAGCTTAAATCGCGTTTCAAAGATGCGTCACTCGCCATTGTTTGCTGCTTCAAGGCTGTGATAATGTCTAACAGGCAGATAAAGTAGGTATTGGACTGGAGTACGTTTATGTAAGAAAATTGTTGAGCTCCTTCCAAGAATTTGTAAGGAAGTTTCTATTTTGAATAGATAAATTTCAGTAAAGGTACCTGAAGTTTGTTAAGAATTTCAAAATGATCGTTGAAGTATCTTTCTTATAATAGTGATTACTTAAGTTTCTAATACTTAGCCCCTATTTGTTTTTCATAATTGGAATCTAAGAATTAATTTTTTGACCGTTTATTTTCAAACTGTGGGCCCCTTATGAAACAAGAAGGTCAAAAGTTGAGGCCAAAAAATCTGTAATGGTCAGAAATTTCTTTAAAATGAGGGAAACAATTGGAAATATTCAGGGACTTAACTTCATGGCCATAAGTTAATGACGACTAGACTAAAAATGTAATAAAAAAATCATACTCGACGTCATTAAATATCAATGTAGACACATATGATGTTAACTAGTATGTCACTTCAAATAAAATAAATTTTTTTTATAGAAATTAATCGAAAAATCATCTTTACATTTAAAGTTGCTACATTTTGTATAATATGTTCACATCACATATGAACTATCTAATCATTTTTGCTAACCTTTCCAATTTATTAATCTTGAAGTTTCAAAGTCGGTATCTTCGCATTGGCTTTTAACGGCGTTACGTAAGATTTTTTATTTAAGTTGACCACTGATAATAATAGTTAGAAACTTGGTGACACTACTATAAAATATACTTCGATGGTAATTTTAAAATTCTTAACAAACTTCAATGACCGTGGCTGAAATTAACCAATATATATTAAAATGGCATCTTTACAGGCTGGTCCTTGCTTCATTAGTAATAGTCCACCTGTCCGAGCTAACGGTTGACTTGGTAAGCTAAAAACTTGGGGTCTTTTTATAATGAGTCGTGCTATTCGTATCGAAAATGATTTACGTACAGATTGATTGATACTCTCAATTGAGGGGCCCCACTTTTTTTTTTTGGGATTTTTTAATGTGAGGGTTTGTCAAATTCATTACCGTCCATTTTTGGTATAAACGGAAAAGCCCTTTTATAATTTAGGTCATGTTTTGTTTAGATAAAAGTTGATGGATTATAAAAATTGTGAATTTCACGAATATGTAAATAAAATTAATTATTAACTTTGATCAAAATTTTAGCTAAATCAAGGCTTACGGGCACGTTTGATATAATTTTTGCTTCTGCTTTTACTTTTTGTAGAAGAGTTTTTGGAAGAAGCCTCTTTAATTTTTGATTGAAAATTAATTTTTAAAAGCACTTCTTATTCCGAAAAAACCACATTGAATCAGTTTTCTCTAAAAATTCTTCTAATTATCAAAAGCACTTTCGTAAAATAAGTCAAACGAGTTAAAAAATAGTTTATGTGCCTCAAAAGCTTCTTTTAACTTTTCAAAAATCATGTTAAACGAGTCATTAGTTACTAATGCGTGAGTACTGCTCAACCCACCAACACTTTTTTAAATTAAAAACAATTTATTTTCTTATATTGGTGGTACTCGTAAAAAAAAAAAATTATTTACTAATGCGTTAGTACTGCTCAACCCACCAACACATTTTAAAATTATATAACAATTTCTTTTCTTATATTGGTGGTACTTGTAAAAATAAAATAATAATAATAAATCATTTCACAGTTTAAGGATGCTGGAATGTGGTTCAGAGACGGCTCAAGCAACTCTTGGGTATTAGGTAAGAAATTTTGGAGAGGCCATATTCAAAAATGATATTTTTTGGAAAAATTGTAGTCACGATATCAAACTTTTCATTTAATAACATACTTTGTTCAAACCTTTTATTTGTATCATCGTGGGTACCAAACCTTCAAAAAATTCGCTGTTTTCCATCAGTTTGACTACAAAAACCATTAGTTGACTCTCAAAATAAAATAAAAAAATCATTATTTTCCCCAAAATAAAGTAGGGGCATTTTGGACAAATCACATTTTCTCCAATAAGTCAAAAATAAAAAAAATCAAAAAAATAGAAAATCAACCCATCCCCATCTTATTCTTCCCCAAAACCAAAATCACTCCACCATCCCCATCTCCACTAATGAAAGGTAGTCTGCCAAGTGCCAAGTTTAATACCAGATTAGAGCAGTCCACGACTGGGGTCGACGCCGAGTGTGAAGCGGATTGGACGGTGGTTAAAAGAGCAATGAATAACAACACGAAGAAGAATGGAAGTTCGTCTGTGGTGCTCAAATCCAATGGAAGGGTTGCTGTGACGTGAGTCCCAACAAAAAGTAGGGAATTAGAAATTTGAAAGCTTGTCCATTTTGGGGCTGATTTTGATTGTAAAATTGGATCAATTGAGGGATGAAATGGTTCAATTGATTGCAAACCCGGGTCATATAATGGTGTTGAACATTGGATGGAACAACCAGCTACGCACTGGCGATGACACTTTCTCAAGGTGAAGCAAAAGTACAATTGCTAGAAAGAGGTGGCTTGTCTTACGAAAATCCCAACATAACTAGCATTGGTGGCTTTCCTCAAACCCTAGCAGACACCTCCACAACCTTAGCTTCTCAGCTTTTCCTCTCCACGGACGGCGTTTTCAACCACGCTCACGTGTTTTGGGTGGTGGCTCTACTATTAACGCAGGTTTCTACACCCGGGTGAGCTTCGACTTTGTGGTGGCGGCCGGGTGGAAGCCATGACTCATGGATGAGTCATATGAATGGATGGAGAAGAAATTGTTTCAGTAGGGGATGATAGAAGAACCTTTTCCAATAATTTTCCAAAAAGAAAATAAAAAAAGACCTTTTAATTGATTCATAGCAACAACAATACGTATATCTTTCACTTGAGAGTGTGGGCCCAGGCGCCCCGCAATTGTGGATGACCATGTGGTCATTATGTGAAACATCATGGTACCCCATGATGTATACATAACTTAATTCCTTTTCACTTTTATAGCTCTCAGCAACTAAGTCCCTGTTTGGTGGGATTAAAATTGAATTTTTAGTATATTTAGATAAAAGTCGATGAAATGTGTAATTGAAAAATTATGAATTTCGTAAAATATGTGATTAAAATTAATTATTGACTTTGATTTAAATTAAAATATGATTTTTAATCCCTCCAAACAGGGATTCAATGAGTTAATCACTAACTAAATATCATACCAAATAGTCATGATTTGAAAATTATAGTAAGTAAAAAAATCACATTATAATCAATTCAATATTCAAGGACTATTCATGGACAAATCAATATTTCAAACTTTTGGGACCTTGCATAATTACGGCCTACGGGCCTTAGGCGACCTGCAACCACGTAAATGGCTTCATAGTCGATTTGACTCTGGTTAATTAACATCACTTGCCTACTTGTACGATCGTGCACGAAAACGAAAACATAGAACACGAGACAGTGATTTAACTGGACAAGTGAACATACCATTTCTCAAAATATATTAAGATTTCGTAGTCACGATTTCTCAATAAACAAGCAAAAACATAAAGAACATACCATAGTTTAAAAGCCCCCACACCAAAAAAAAAGTCAAAATGACGAAAATATGATACTGTCAAAATAAGCAGCCAAACATGCTTAAATTCTTCAATGTAGAATACAGAGCAATTTCCACCCATATCTTTTATGCAGCTGTCTCAGTAATGTGTTTCTTCTCTTCTAGTTTGACTGCATGTACATTAAGCAATTCATGTTGTACAACCTGTCATAAGAGCCATAAGTTTTGCATAAGTAAAGGAAATAAGTAAACAGTTAATTATGAGCTAACTCTTGGAATTAGGATCAGTCAAACAAACCTCTAATAATTTGAATTTACTTCTGTAATTCAAGTAACTTGAAGTTCTGGCTTTCTCTTGTTCTAAGCATTCCTCAACCTATATAATAATAAGTGTTAGGTAGTAAAGAACTCGCTTTTTCGACTAAGTCTTTTGGCTCTAACCTTAACCATGTAATTCTCATAGGACTCAGTTTCAATCCAGTTTAAGGCGTTCTGTGAATAGAACGTAGTCGTGTCTTTGATCATTGATTCTTCAAAGTCTTTTGCATAGTACTTCGTAGAATTCTCGCCAATCTCCAAGTAAATATCGAGGACTGACTTCACCATGGCCTGGTCTATCTGTTCCCCCTTGCGTTCTTTGTCAATCTAAGATAATGACATTCGATAAATATGCTCTTGAATACACACGAGAAAAAATAATTCTCTTAGTGATCGTTTGGTACACTGCATTGGACATTACTGCATAGTACAAAATCAAAATACTAGAACTCGAGACGTCTCGAGGTAATCTTATGTCGATGAGTCTATATGTGATGTTTAAACGGATGGAAGCATTCTAGTCTATATGTGATGTTTAAAAGGATGGAAGCATTCTATACTTTTGAAGTGCGTAGAGCCTAATCATATTGTTTTCTTGTCTCCTCGACCATGAGAAGTGGAAGTGCTCTTATGTAATCAAACAACAAAAAAAGCTCGTCCAAATTCTCGAACGTACCAATGATAGAATGGTATCTCTAACTTCATTGTTGATCTCCGAGTAAACCTATAACATGTATATGAAAATTATCAGATACAAACAAAACGCTAACTATTTTCTAAGAACAACAAAAGATTGAGATTCGACATTTAGTATTTGTTTGATAAAAAATTGCTAAATTTATCAACCGGTCAAACTTCAATTTTAAGCACACATTTCATGAGACTCACAATTTTTTCTAACTTCTATTAAAATCTGCTAATATTCTTATCAAAAGCTATGTCAAACGAGGTTTTAGAAACTCGACAAAAGTAAAGAAGTTTTTATTACTAACCAGATTATAGAATGCTAAGTGGCCTGTTCCTTCAAGTGAAGGCAGCCTCTTCTTACCAATGAAGTATCTCTGAAGGTAATGAAAGAACCTTGAAAGCCATTTGACCATAGTCTTGTGATTGTTCCATCTTCTCAGCAATTCTCGTAACAAATTTTCGTCGTTCTTTCCCCTTAGAGATGGCAATACCTAGAGATGATTTGACAGTACAATGGACAATATTATCTAGCACGAAAGTAGAATTTCTTAAAGTTCACTTACCTTGGAAGAAATGTAATCTTCAAAAGTCTTTCTATAGTGATCATACAGTTTTTCAGCTTCTGGACCAACTGGATTAGGGCAACATGCGTTATAAACCGTTCTGGCGAATTGAGTCAAGATATGCAAGTCGACTAGATGAATCATTTTCTACCATTTATCAATTCAACAACACCCTTATAATCATCTAACTGAAGATATTTGACCAAAACAATTCATACCAATTCCAGAAAGTACATGAACCATATTTGAATAAATATGCATAACTTTTTTGACAATAGCTTAATCTTTTAGATGAGGTGATTAACACGATGTTAGAGTCTCAAAGGTACATATGGCATTCTTATTCATGTAAAGGTAAAACTAAAAATGAAGAGTCAAATCTAATATATATTGGCCTTAAACGAACCACAAAAACTTTGCAATGAGCACGACTCGGTCAATCAAAGTGCGACTTGACTCGTGGTTCACCGATATTTTTTTTACTGAAATTGTATTTTTCACTAATTATGACGAACCGGCTTGCAAATAGACAACTCATGTGAGCTTGGCTCACTAGTCAATGAGCGGCTTGTTAAGGATAAAATCTTATATCGAATAAAGATGAAAACATAGATAATTTATAAGAGTTTGAGTTACTTTTCTTAATAAAGATTGACCTTTGAAGATAGAACTCAAATCTTAATATAGTATTAAAGACCATTAAATTTCAACGAGCAATTCGATCCGATTAAAACTAAAAAAAAATTGAGCACAAGGATTTCAAGATTGATTTACTCAAACGAGTCACCATCTTGTGAGGGTATATTAAGAGATAAAATCACACATCGAATAAAGATGAAAATATATATCAATTAATAAAAGTTTGGACTGCTCATCTTAATAAAAGTTGATCTTTTAAGATAAAATTTCAAATCTTAACACGTATTAAGGAATAAAATCTCATATTGAATAAAAATAAAACAATAGATCAATTTATAAAAGTTTGGATTACTCATTTTAATAAAGGTTGACCTTTTAGGATGAAATCTCATATCTTTAACACAGCTCGTCCGACAACTAGGATAGAAGGTGCCTAATAAGGATACGTGTAGACCTGCATATATTCTTCAGATGTAAACTCGCGTTTGTCAACTCCTTCCAGATTGTCAATGACCTTGTTGATGGCTTCTTGCAGAAAGGGCCAAACTTGTTCAAAGCTTAGATCGCGTTTTGTAGGTGCGCTAATCTCCATTTTTTTATCTGCTTCAAGGCTGTGATAATGGCAAACACAGCTTGATAAGAATCACGCCCATGGTTCTGTAAGGCAGTCCGAGGAGTTTAATGTAAGAAAATTGTTGGTATCGCGTGGAAGCTTCTTGGAAAGATCATGTAGGTCATTTCAAAGAATGATTTTTTAATTAAAAATGATAATTGTACCATTGGTCCCTGGTTTATTTTCTGACTAACAAGATGGTCCCTGATCAGAAATATAAGGGACGCAAAGTGCATGGTGATGACAAGAAGTGGTGCTTGTAACAGATCAGTGAATTTAAGAGACCGTGCAACGAGAATAATAGCATTAGAGCCTTAGAGGAGCTAGTACGAGAGGATCGATAAAATACAACGCTTTCAATTCGAGCAGGAATAGGATTACGATTTTTATATTTTTCTTATTTCTAGAGGAAGAAATAACATATTTAAAAAGGGACAAGATTTAGAATAAAAAATGAACAAGTTCGTCTTCAACCTGTTAATATAATTGTGCAATGAGTCCTCCATGTCAGAAATCGTTCAAATTTTTGTTAAATTGTCATGTAACTCTTATATGTTTATAATTACAAAGCTATAATTTTTTTCTTTTTTATATTTTGACCAATAATTACAAATTTCAAAGTGAAATATATGCAGTATAGGTCAAGTGACAATTAAATGGAATTTTAAAGACTTCATATGGTTGGGAATTAATTATAATTAAATATTGAGGATCGCGTTGCTCTTTTTTAAGACTGAAAACTAAATTGCTACACTAACAATAGATTGGGCACCAATATTGAAATTATTCCTAGTTGAAAAGGCCTTGTTGACTAGTCAATATTTGCAACATGCCCTTGCCTCCTCCTAAATTTGAATAAATATGTCCATATTTGTCCATATTAAATTTTGATTCATTTTTTTCTCTCCTTTCATCGACGACACATTCTCTCGATAAAATAATATTATATATAAATTCAAAAATTATCCTTACTTTTTAACCACACATTCTTAAAAATAAAAATACTATTTCAAAATTAATTTTTTCAAATAATGAAACTCAAACAAGGGCTAAAAATCTAAGTTTGACTTGATTAAGCCTTCTTTACAAGGTATCATCACACTTTTTTCCCATTATATCCTCTAAAGAAAATGCTTGTAATTAACTTATCATTATAATTTGTCCTTTTTTCGTATTTTATTTTGATTCATACAATTTGAGTTTTTGAATCGACGAGCAAAGTCGTGTGTAAGCCATTTTTTTTGGTTTTCCACGATAATAAGGTGAGTGCTCTGATGATCAACAATATGAATGATCTTTGCAAAAGCATAGTTTTGGTGTTTTGATGATCATTACCTCGATAAATATATTCTAATTATAATGAAAAAGTAGGAAAACATGATAAGGTTTATATTATTTCTCTCCTTTTATGATTGTATACTGCATTCTTCAAGTACAATAAGTGATGTACATGGTATATTTGGTTCAAGATTACAATATGTAATATTGTCAAATATTTTTGTAACATGGTGTATTCATTCTGTTATGTTAAGACTTAAGATTAAAAAATTACTTTTAATCTCAAATTTATAAAATTAAAAAATAAAAACATAAGTAATATAATAAAATTAAGCACCCGTTGGCCCCCATTTTTTTCGTCACATTACATTAATCTTTTTTTTCTCTCTTCATTTCAATCATATATTCATCAAATAATATAATATTACACACAAATCTAAAACTTTTCATTACTTTTCAACTATACATTCTCTCTTCAATCACTATTCCAAAAATTTTCAACACCCCAAAATGGGGGCCAAACAGGGACTAAATTACCTTTAATGCATGAGACACATTAATTTTATCAATTTGTTTTTTGAATATCAATAAACTTGGATAGAAAAAGGAATTAATATAATTAAATAGTATTAGAATTAGTATTTTAATTATAGATAATTGGAGAAGCTAAAAGCAGGATTATCAAATTTCTATCACATTGTAAAAATATTTCTATAATCATTTTTTGTGAAAAACTTGTCAAACACAAAAAAAATCTGATTGTCGGACATTAGTTCATGATCTTTAAAGTCAATTCCAAACAGGGTCTTAAACCGTTTGTAAACGCTTCCTAAACAAGATTTAAATGGGAACGTAAGTGTCTATTTGATAGGGTTAATTACACAACATATATTTGTGATTAGAAGTTTACAACAAGCCTACCCTTTCTCGAGCTAATTTTGTTTACAATTCATGATGATAAATATCATAGTGACGTATTTCGCACAAGTTAGACAGTATCCCACACACACACACACACATTATCGTTTTTTAAATAATGTCCGGGACTCTACCTAGATAGGAGCGAAAATATATATATAAAAAAACACATTGTTGCCCCCACATTGGAAGATCTCCTTGATGATCGAAGCAACTGAACTTGTAGAGTGAGCGAGTGTGATGTGAAAAACATCTCCCAATCACGAGTAATACAAATGCCAAAATTCCAAGAACTGTATTGATTTGTTGAAAGGGTAATATTATTTAGTTTATGTTTGGCCCCAATTTTTACAAAAAACTAATTTTTTTTATAAAAATTTATTTTCAACCACACATTATTCCTTAAAACAATATTAAGCGTAAGCAAAAATATTTTTTCTTATTTTTCTCCAAATTTATATTAAACCCCTTTTCAACAACCATTATGTCAATATTTTTTTATTGTACATACTTATTTTCAACCACAAATTCAGACAATAAAATATTCTACACTACACGTAAATTAAAAAAATTCCATACTTTTTAACCACGTATTCTCTAAAAATTTACTATTCAAAACTTTGCTTTTACCAAATAAAGGCCGTCAAATAGGGGCTGAAATGGAGCCCAAACAAGGACTCTACAAAGTTAGTCCATACGACATTAAATGAAAAAATATAATTAAATGAGTCACTTAATTCTCGTTTTAGTTGAATATGTATCACTTAAACTTAAACCGTTGTTATATTATCAGTTGTTCTAGGTAACATTATTCTTATAAAAATAACTTAAAAATATCATTTATTTTAGACGAATTGTTAAAACCTTTTCACATTAAGTTTTTGTTTGGCTTTCATTTTTTAAAAATCATGTTTTCAATCTTCTTTTAACTATATTCTCATAATAAAATAATTTTGCACGTAAATATATAATTTAACCCTATTTTTAAATACATATTCTTGAATTTTTTTTTTTACATTTTTACACAAGACTCGTAAAATCTCCATCAAACACAAACAACAACTAACTTAGCCCATGTTTGACAACCAGTATTTTCGAACTCTTTTTTCTACATATTCATTTTCAAGCACATTCACACAATAAATATTTTCCATTTAAATAAAAAAAAAAATTATAACTTTTCATCTATACATTATCTTAAAAATAATTATTCAAAACATTGTTTTTTAAAAATAATGGTCACCAAACGAGGGTTAATTAATTATTGAAAATCCCTATTTTTTTCCCCTTTAATATTTACACCCTTTTTAAAAAATTCTATAACAAAAAATATAAATTCAAAATTTTACACATTGCATGTGAGTCCGAAAAGCACAACAAATCAACAAATATTGGATTTAATCTCTCATATAAAAATACATATATCTATATATATATATGTAGTGAGAGAAAGGTATTTCATTTTTCTTCTTCATCTCTCTCTAGAAATTCACCGTGAAAGCTCAGCTCTCTTAACCAGGTACTGTTTCAGCCTTTCTTTCATCCAAAAAACACACAGAGACACACGCACACATGTATGTATATGTGTATGGATACATCTATTTTCTTCTATTGACCTTTTTCTGCATCCAAAATCCAGACCAATTTTATGATTTCATCAGTTTCGTTTCTTCTCCAGTCTCTCGAGCCTCCAAACAGGTACTGAATTCTATATTTTGCTGCTCTCGGTGTTCTATATATGCGTGTGAAGTGTGCGCCGACTTTCGTGTAGATTATACGTATATATCTGCTCATATTTTTGGTTTAATCGGTTTAAACTGTTTGAGGAATTGATTTTGATTAGATCACATTGGAAATTTGTTATAGATTGTGGTTCTTCATACTTTTCACACTTTTTTAGTTTTCGATTTGTATAATTTTCAAATGTCGTTTTGTTTCGTGGAGTGGCGACTGGAACCGCTGGGTTGCAATAATTTTCTTTTTTTCTTTTTTGATGAATTTGTTTTATTATGTGCATTTTTTCATGTTTTGAGGGTTATAATTCGCACCAATATGTTCATCACGTGTCTTTCCTTCATCGCATTTTTTTTGCCCTTTACTTGCTTTTCCGGTTTATGTCGATCGGACTAACTAGTTCGATCTAAAAACTTGAAGCAATCCAGTTAAATGCAAAATATCGAGCAATTAGTTTAACTGGAAGCTGGTTTACTTTTCTTCTTTATTATTGAATGTTTTTATTCACGGAGCGACTCTATGTTCTTTAATCATATGTTTTTATTGAGTCTACGTATGAGTCGATATTAAAAATATTTATATTAATTTTAAGTCGGTCTTGTTTAGTCCAACTGATTAAAGCTACTCTGAATTAGAGATAGAAAGAGAGTAATCTCTTTTGGATTTTGTTCAATGACTATTCTTTTCTTTAATAAGGTGCACTTTTTTATATGTATGTATAAAGAAAAATCCCATAAAAGAAGACTTGAGCAATTTTCTTAGTGGGTTAAATGTGTTGTGGGTCATTGACCTTTTAGCAGATGTTACTTACATAGAGGTTAATGAAATTTAGTTTTAAGTGCAAATATATAATTACTCTGTTAAAACCCACCCTTAAGTCAATTTTAAGTTAATTTAGCCCCTATGAACTTTTTTAAGAATACATTTTGTGGGAAGTGATGATTTTTATTTATTTATTTTTTATTTTTTGAGAATGTGCGATTAAAAAGTAGGGAATTTTTTTTTTTTTGAGTTTACAAGCAAAATTATTGGAAAGATGAATTGCTGAAAATGAGTTAGAGAAAAAATAAGTTACTTTCTCTTTATAACTTTTCTCGCTATTGTGAACGTTAAATCACTGTTTGGCCCCCATTAAATTAAAATTCATTTTTCACTCATTTCTTATCGATCACATATTTTTCAATAAAATAATAGTATACGTAAATTAATTTTTTTTTTCAACCACACATTTTCCAAAAAATTACTATACTTCTCATTAAAATGTGAAATAATGGAATCCAAGCTGGGGCAAAAATAGATGTGGACGTTTGTCAATATAATGTCAGCTATAAAGATTAGATTGACTCAAGAATGCGGACATAGTGATTTGTTGTGCTGTTTGGGCTTGAAGTTTAATGACCCAATTTAAGTTCGCTAAAAATTCAATAACCAGTAATGCAATTAACCCATTAGTCTTCAGTTTTTGGTTGATAATACTTTTAGGAGCAAAACATAAATTTATTTCAAATAAATCTTAATTTATCGATGTGACGAACAATGTGCTTAATATTCAATAATAAAAAAATTGCTGTTTTAAGTTGCAATAAATTGAACAATTGAAATTGCTAAATGAAGTTAGCCTCTATTTGATGGCAATTATTTTGAGAAAATTAAGTTTTGAGTAATGATTTTTTGAAAAATGTTATTAAAAAGTAGAAAAATTTTTTGAATTTATGGACAAAATATTTTATTGTGTAAATGTATAATTGAAAACTATTATAAAAATTAAAGAATTTTGAAATAATGGTTGTCAAACAGAGGTTTGGTGTTGATCTTTGATTTATTATCTAATAGTAAG